CTTCTCTTTTCTCTCTTAGCTGAGTGTGTTAACGAGCTCCTTGAAGAAAGGTTTCTAGGAATACGACGCTAGAGTGGAGGCCCCGGCGTGTTGTCTGTGGCCACAGAAAATTAAATACTTAACTCTCCCTGTAGTACTCAGCTTTAAGTGTTGTGTGCATGTGGCACAATTACCTGCTCAGTATTGTTGCCCAGGGGCCAGTAAAGACTGGGACCACTGTGGTTGAGGAAACGCTTGATCACCGGTTAGTGTGGAGCCAGAAGATGCTGGGGTTTTGGATTTAGAGATGTAGGCTTTTTTTTTTTTTTTTTTCCCAAATGTGTGGTTGCTGCAAGCTAAAAGGCTCAAGTTCTTAGCAATGACTTCTAGGTTTGCATAAGAGCTTAGCGGTAGGCTACCTTGTGTTGTGTCTAACCCTTGCCTTGCATTTCACCTTCCATTACAAAAGCAGCACCGTGCTGAAGAGTGTGGACACTTATGGTCTGTGTGAACTGACTTGGGGATGTCCTATAAGACCTTATTCCTCTTTCCTGTGTCAAGAAGACATTTTGGGCCCTACTCTGGGGAGAAAGCAGTCACAGGGCTGACACGGTTCTACTATCCGAGTGCCTGGTTTCATAGCAATAAATGAAAAGCAACTAAAGGGGACCTATTCCTGTTCAAGGGATTCATTAAAACAATATCACTGGAGAAAACTTGCCCTTCCTTTTTTTGTAGGGCTTGACACATCAATTGTATATGACTGTGTGCTCAGTCAGGTACCACTGAAGGGGTTTCTTAAATCACTGTGTAAAAAGGACATACTGCACTACTACTTGCCTTGATAAAGCAGCCAAGGAAATGGCTTGATGCTATTGCTGGGGCTCCTTATCTGTTCCAGGGGCTACCTCGTTTCCTTGGGCTTTGAACACTCCTTTATGTTGTTCCTCTTTGCACTCTGTCGCTTGAGCTGCTTCTCTGGAAGCAAAGAGCCTCTTCTGGAATAACAGGCTAAGAAATATGCAACTTCCATGGGATAAAAGGGGAATCTAGAGTAACAAGCAAGAAGTGGCTGTTACCCCTTGTTTCCTTTGTATTGATACATCAGCTTTAAACCTCTCAAGGTTTTAGCAGGCTTAGCTCCCTTCTGCTCTGCTGCAGAAATGTTGGGCCAAATAGAGAATTGTTTTTTACTATAGAAATGCCCTTTAACTAAAAGCCTCTCCGGTTTTTATAATCATAGGCAGGGCAACCTCCCCGTGCTTTAGCTGTGGTATCTATCCCGAGATCTCATCATTCTGACTGTTTGTAATAAAAGTGTATGCAGATCTGTCTCAATCTCTGGGGGGGGAAAAAACTGCACCCCAATAAAGTATATATATTTTTGTCTTCCTTATTTTGGCAGTGACATCAAGGCACGCATTTCTTTGACTGCTCCTTATCAGGAGCAAATAGAAGTATAAGCCCCTCATTATATACATCTCTTGTAGATACTTGGAAGGCCTGAGAGGCAGCACAGGGCGTGAGTCCTGCGATGTGCGGCTACTCCTGCTGTGGAGATTTTGCAAAATGCTGATTAAAAAAGGAGATTTTTGGTAGGGAGTGACCATCTTAACTGGACACCACTGTACCCAAGTGCCAAACCTTGCCCCAGTCAGCATTTGGTTAGCTCTTTTTAACAGCAAGTAGTGTGCTAGGAGTGCCTGCTTGTGGGGGAAGGTGGTACATCATGCAACTCGGAGTAGCAAAATCAGCTCACAAAAGGTCCTCGTTAAACTCGTTAGTACTGCTGTAATTAAGTGCTGCTCTAGGCCTTCAGGACTCGTAGGAGAGATGATATCTTTTATTAGACCAACAAGATTTTTGCAAAAAAATTTCTTTAATTGCAAGCTTTCGGGCACAAACACCCTTCATTAGGCATTGGAGAAAAGATTGTAAAAGCTCTCCTGGGGAGAAATGAAAGTTCATATTTCATAGGATTTCACGGAGGAGTCAATAGATGGAAAACTCCTCTGGGCAGTCAGTTCATAGCTGGTCTCGAGCCTCTCAGCTCTTGTGAGGTCTTTTGTGGGAAATAAACACGGATGCCCAATGAGCTCAGAGTTGCTGGTTCAATACAGGGCATCAAACTCTCTTGGCAATGCCCAAAGGCTGAGAAAAGAGACGGGGCAGACAGAGCTACAAGCACTGAGGTCTGAAGAGTTACCAGTTGTTGTTTTTTTCCCCAAATAGATCAAATGAAATCCATCTGGGTCTTCATTGCAGAACCTGAATAAATGCTGCAACCGCCCTGGAACACTTGAAAACGCAGAGCAGTCGAGTCAGACCAAAAAAAAAGCTTGAACAGCTACGTTTCTGTAAGGAACTAGATAGCAACACATTTGGGTTGCACATTCAACAGGGATTTGCTACCTCAGGAAACCCCAAAGGTATAACATTTTCATTTGTCCTAATAAAAGGAGAAGATCTTGTTTACCAAAGAAAACAGCTCTAGATTTAATGAAAGCTGCCTACGCAAAGCAGTTGTCAAGAGTGCGCTGCCTTCGAGTGAATAGAAGTCATATTCCTCTGCTTCGGCTTGTGGCTGAGCTTAATGAGAGCTAAAAGTAATTGGAGAGCTGTTGGCACTGCTCTTTGGGAGGGGAGAGGTTTTCAATGAGAGAGACGAGGGTTAGATAAGCCAGAAAGGCAGGGAGGGTGCAGCGGGAAGAATGCAATTATTTCCCTTCGTTCAAAGAACGGGTTACATGCTGGCTGGGAAAGTGGCTTCTCGCCGGCTGCTGCGCGGATGTAAAAACTGTATTCCCCTCCAGATGGTGCCACCGACGTTTACTTCCAGTGCTTGCACGGCTGTAACCTCCATTGCTACTTTTATTATTATTAAAGCACCAACTTAGAGCAGTGGAAAAATGCTCCACGCCCCTGGGAAAGCAGTTGACTTCCAGCTGGGCTGAGAGGGTCTTGTTTCAAAGAGCCGTCAGGTAGAGAGAAGGCAGGGCATTGCTGGAAACAGCAGAAAGCAGGGCCATCGGTTTGGGAGGAGGTTGGCTATTCTGGGAGGCTTGTAGAGAAAGCCAAGTGATGTGAAGCACAAGCAGGGAGAGGAGAGCTAGCAGCAGCAGTGCCAAAAAGGGACGTTGAACTCTCATTCCTTGTTTGCCTGTGGTTGTAGACAGGTGGCATAGCCCTCTCTTAGAGGCAGCAGTGGGATTAATCGTGTGCATCCAGGATTGGGCTTCTCAAGAGCCCCAGAACCATCGAGTCATCAAGAGGCACCTGGTCTAACCTCCTGCTTTAAGGAGGTGAAGTCCTGGAGTGAACAGATCTGCTCTGGTGATCGACATGGTCCAAACAGGCTCTCAGGTCTCATCTACATGAGGAATATTTTTTATTTCTTTTTTTTAAATGTGGGGGGGTGGAGTTTAGGAGGGCGAAGGGAAATAAACTGCCTTGCACCTACACGCGCAAGGTGTTTTTTTAAATTACCTGCTGTTTTCCTCCTGGTTCCTTTATGGACTCTCCCCTTGGAAATCTTTAAGCGCAGGGTAGAGCAGTGTCCGTTTGCACTAGTTCAGACAGAGCAAGTGCCGGTGTTTTGCACTGAATGAAACATCTCACCGGGCTTCAGATGTAACCCTAAATTTAAGTGCATCGGAGCCTAGCCCATAGCTGGGAGAAGCATAGGTCGCCTTAAGGAAGAGGGGGATGATCGCACGTGGATACGTGTTAAGCCATGTCCAACACAGCTGAAGTGAACCGGGTGGGATTTCATCAGGGCCTGGGCCTGAGAGCCATCCTTCCAGCCGAGAAGATGGAAAGACCCCTCGGGGTCCACCAGCTCCATGTGGTCAATGCTCAGAGTGGGTCACTTCTCTAACCTAGTCCTCCTCCGCATCTAGCGGTGAGCTCAAAGCTGTTCAAGCTTGCCAGCTGGCTCTCCCCCAAGTGCTACCATTTCTGTTGTAGCCCATGAAACGTGCCCGTGCAATTTTTAAGACGACAAGCCCAGAAGGGAGTGCTGTGAAGTCTGATGTGAAGCCATAAGACTTCTCTGAACTCGTTCGAATTAGAGCGGATCATTAAAAAATAAGCATCCATCTCGACTTAAAAAAAATGACCGGCGATGGGAAATCTGCCACTGCCATTGGTAGAAGGGGGTCGAAATTCCTCTCTAGTAAAATGTTGTGCCTTGTTTCAGCTTTGAACGTGGCGTGGAGCTGGGCTGGGCGGTTTTCCATGTGCTCCGGCCATTTTGAATCCCCACAGGACAGGATGCCCTGCTGCGTGCTGAACCCCAAAAGCTCAGGTCTTACTTGCCTGGGCCACACTCGCAGCTGGAGCTACCGCCACAAGGAACGATTCCCGCCTGTATTTCAGTCTTGTTTGCACGTGAAATGGCCTCAGCCAGTTTGCCTCATCGTTCAAAACGGCAGAGGTCATTCCTGCCTCGCAGAGGTGCCATGAGGCTGCATTTCTTTGTGCTTTTAAAGTACTATGAGACATTTGCGGGCTCTGGCATTGCAATGTGCTGAGGCTGTTATTCCACTGCAAATGGAATAAAAGCAAAAAGGAGGATGATGCTTTAAGGAGGAAAAGTGAGAGAGCCTTTAGGGAAGATGTTTAGCGCTGCATGGCCAGCAATATCCACGTGTTAGGACTGGCCGCTGTCTGTGCAGAGGGACTTTCTTAGTGATAACTCAGTCTCTGTCAACATAGGCAGTAGCCTATGGAAGTCCTGCCTCTCTAAGTCAATTTGTCTCCACAATGCCACCCTGCTTTGTGGCCTATAACTTGGAGTGAAGACAGCTGCAGGGGAAGGGGGATTTCGTTCCATGGTATTCATCCACTGATCGTCACTTTTTCACTTGACGTCCACCTGGGCCTGGCGGTTGCATCGAGATAGCAAGAGAGTCTCGATAGGAGAGAAGTGGGCTCTTGAGGAATGGCCTTGGAGGCTGGGGAT